ACATGGGAAACATTGTATAGCATGATAGGAACGACTTGGATTTGTTTGCTCGTTTTTGCTTTTTGCAGTGCTGGGGATGGAACCCAGGCCTTGAGCCTGCTAAGCAAGCACTCCACCACCGAGCCACACCCCAGCCTGACAACAAGCCTTTGGAACACCTAGAAGCTTGCTTTGTGACCTGGTCATGACAATGTTTTACAAATACTCTGTGTGTGCATGAACAGAGCCATGCTGTCTGTCTGGCACAGGGCTCTGCAGTTGTCAGCTGAATCCCACCTGCTGTTCGGTTAAGGAAATGCAGCCTGCTTTAACAGAGCATCCTATTTACTATTTTTCATCAAAGTCCATAGTTTAAAGAGTCAAATCATTCTAGAAAAAGTGTCAGCAAACTTTTCTGAAAAGGTCCAGATAGAAACTATACTGAGCTTTGCTGTGGATGTGGTCTATCTGTGTCTGGACAGAACAGCTCAGTTTTGCTATAAGGGAGCCAATGTCTTCACAAAAGGCATTTAAGGAAAACAGAGGTTCTATTGTTGATCCCTGGCATGTTTCTAACTCCTTGCTTTGTGGTTCTTACATCTGCTGCTTTCCTGACACTTTTCTTTTGATTCTGTTAATTTAGAGGCTCTGTACTCCATTCATTTCCAGTGGTTATTACAAAATTTTCACAGGCTTGCTAACTTAGCAAAGTCCAAAATTAACGAATACGTCTCCCTACACAAGGCTTATAGGATACCTTAATGCCAGACTCCTCTCCCGTATTGTAAATGGTTTTTGTTCTGTATTCAAGTTTGGGATCAGTGTAGTTTGTGTTTGAGTATTGTTTTTTTCTTGAAACAAAGGTCTGCTGATAAAAAAAAAAAACCCTTTATTCTTTATCTGAGAATGTTTTTATTTTGCCTTCAGTTGGGTCTCTTTTGTTTCTGACGCCACTATTCAGTATCAGCTGGGTACAGGATTTTAGCCTAGCCATGTTCTCTCTCCCATTTCAAGGACATCATTCCATTATGTTCTACCCTCTATTGTTAATGCTGAGAAGGCGGCTGCCTGTCTGATTACTGTTATTCTTTGTAAATGTTCTTAAATCTTTTGTTGCCTTTAATTTTCTCATCTTACTTTCATTATCTAACTTTCAAGCTTATTAATTCCTTCAGCTATGCCTGTCTAATCTGATATTAAGTTAATTTATCTTGTTTTTCTTTCCTGAACATTTTTTCCCAACACTTTTTACGTAGTATTCTGATTTATCCTTCTCACCTATGGGTCATGTTCCTTTTATTACTACTCTTCTACTGTGACCTTTAAATGATTTAAAATTTTTTGAAGTTTAACACATACAATACAGAATTCAGAAGGACGACATTTTAGTTCAGGCTCCTCTGTTTTACATCGCATTGTCCACTTACAAGCAGCTTAGCATTGATTTCTGAAAGTCTCCCGGTTTATGTATGTTGTAAGCATTTTCCAGGGAAACATAAAAGAAACATCTGAATTGAGAGGGCATCGACAGCTCAAATGACACGGACTAGCCCGACCTGGTGAGTGACTACGTTTATCAGGGTTACCCACAGAGCACTGGACAACTTGCAGGCTGTAGCACTACTGAGGTTGCCAAACCCCTGTGCTAGGCTACTGGTTTTACTGGGCTCTAACTAAAACAGCAAAAGCAGAACCAGAGGCAAGAAGGGACCTTTGAAAAAGTTGCGTGTACCCTGTCCCCATCACAACCTTACCAGGAGACGCCCTCCTCTTAGTAAGCGCTGTCGAGCGGCCATGGTAGTCGATGACTGTTGTGTTGCTCTCTGGCTCACAGCTGCACCTCCTGTTGAGGGCCCAAGTCAAAGTTAAACAAGGGTTATCTTAGTCCTTTCTCATCACTAGACACTATACCTAACACCCATAACTTAAAGGAGGAGAGTTTTATCTTGGCTCACGGTCCCAATCCGTAGTGGGCTGGCTCCAAAGCACAAAGATCATGGTGGAAAGGCACGGCGGAGGAAAGCAGTTCATCCCCTAGCGGTCGGAAGCAGAGAGAGAAGGAAGGAGCCAGCAACAACAACACATCCTTCCAGGCCACTCGCCCAGTGATCCACTTCCCACGAGGCCCTGCCTGCCAACAGCTCCTTCAGCTACTTAACTCACCAACCGATCAGTCCTGCGATGAATGTAGCACCCCATGATCCAGTCACCTCCTTCCGAAGACATGACGCATTTGAGAGACTATTTAGATCTCAACCCTGCAGCGGCCCACTATAGAATAGAGTTGTGCCAGGGATGTAGCTCAGCAGCACATCGCCTGCCCGGCAAGCACAAAGTCCTGAGTTTGATCCCTGGTACGGAAAAAAAAAAAAAAAGATGGAGTTATTTCGGCCAAGGTTCAGAGGACAGTTCTCACCACAATGTGCATAACTAACACTGGCAATGTGAAATGTATAATCAAGACAATGAGAGTCAGGGTGGGTTTTAGCCCGCAGATCCGTGGGGCGGGAATGCGCCATGGCTGCCCTTTGCGGAGAGAAGAGCCGATAGAACAAAGACAATGATGAGCAACTTTTGCTAACGTTTCCACACCTACTGAACTAATACATACTTATTTACAGGCCAGAAAAGAATGGAAAAACATCTGATAACTAAAAGGGGGAAAAGCGCTCAGCGTCTGACATGTATCATAACATTCTGCTGATAGAAGTATTGCTTTTAAATAAACATAGCAGCGGCTTCCAGAATGTCATCCCGCCACCTGACTGAGTCACCGGGGGGAGAGGGGCTTGGGGAAGATTGCAGGTCAGCGTCTGAGAGGAGTAAGCAGTCTCGTGTGCCCAGTTAGCTTGAAATTAAAAACGTACGCACCTCAGCTCTTTCCTGTCAACGTGTAGAGTTCATTAGTGCCCGTATTTCCTACAATTTCTCTTTCTATCTCATTCCCTCCTCCCATTTTGAGATCATCTGAGATTTTTGTTTCATGTTGTTGTGGAGTCTCTTGAATTCTCAGTTAAAAATCATTTAATTACGCCTCTGAGTTTGGCCTACCTGCATAACCCATTGTTACTTCTTTTCTTTTTGGTGTGTTTTTTATTGACTCGTCTTGCAGACAATTTTTTATTTTTCTAGAGAGAACATGAAAGAGTAAATGGGCAGAATCCTTGCCTGTCCTGACAGCCTGTTAACATTTTACCTGTCACACAAGACAGAGCCACCTACCCCGGCATCAGGCTTGGCATGTAAAGAGGTGGGCACCCGGAGAGAGAGGTGTCAGGGACAGTGAGGTGTAGGTGGGGCCAGAGAGAAATGGATGGAGCCACTATGTAATTTTAACTTCAAAATACCCCTTCCTCTCATCTTCGTGATTTTAATCCCTTGTCTTCCAGAGCTATTATGCAATCATATACTGATATGGACCAGACCCTCTTTTCATTGTGGTAGGGTCACCGGATTTAGCAACTCAAAATCCAGGCAGCCTTTGGGATGTTCCTATAGTAAAAAATTATTCATTATATTCCTTTTGGGGGAAAGCAATACTGGAAATTGCCTTTATACTGAGCTCCATCCCCAGAATGTTTTTATTTTCATTTTGAGCAAGGGCCTGCTGAGTCAAAAGGTTGCCCAGACTGGGCTCAAATTCGGGATCTTCCTGCCTTCGTGTCCCTCCCTGCTGGGTTTACAGTTGTGCACCACCATGCCCAGCTCTATTTGTTGGATTTTGAAACTCAAATTTAAATGGTCATCTTAGGGTTTTTTTTCTGAGTAACTTTATAGTTAACCTGTTTGATTAGTTTGTTGCTCTCTTTCAAATCTCTCCGAATTTATTCCTTCTTTATTCCAGAATGTCACCGGGCAGTGTCTGACAGGGAGTGCACCACTGTTCAGCCCTGTGCTTTGTACCCCTCCACCCCGAAAGCCCATGCTTTCCATTTGGGACCCTGCATCTCCACTTCAAATTTGGTCCCTATCTCCTTTGTCCTCTGCCCTCACCTCAGCACTTTTCCAAGGTATTATTTACAGATTTAAGCTCCCTGTTGCTGCCTAAGTAACCTCAATCCAGTGAATGAGCCACTTGCACCTCCAGCTCCTGCACCATGAAATCAGCTTTGATAAACTCATTCTCATGAGGAATAAATTCTTTGAAGGACACCACACCCCTGCACAGGGTATGCTCTGAGTACCACCCAGACCCTGTCTCTCCATATGGGCACGTCTTACAACAGGAGGACACTTGCTGGGTCTCTCTCCCTCCTCTCTCTCTCTGTGTCCTGTCTGTGTGGACAATTCATTGTAAAATGTGCCCTGTATTCCTTCTATGCTGGAGCATTTAGTGGCTGGTGTAAAGCCCACTAGAAGACTCATAAGCTCCCTGCCATGGTGTTTGATTGGGTCCCTTAAAAGCTCACATGTTGGAAACTTAATCCCCAAGTCCATATATTAACGGCACTAGGAGGTGGGGCCTCAGGAGGTGATTAGGATTAGGTGAGGTCATGAAGGTGCAACTGTGAGACACGAGTGGCTTTACAAGAGAGGACAGCGAGCCCACTTGCTCCACTTGCTCTGACTCATCCTGTGTCACCCCCCACCATGTTGGGATGCAGCAAGAAGTCTTCAGCAGATGCCAGCACTAGGCTCTTGGACTTCCAGCCTCCAGAACTGTGAGGTAAACAAACCTCTATGATTTATAAAATGCTAGATCTCAGGTATGTTTTACAATAACCAAAAATGGACTGAGGCACCCACCATGAGTGACAGAGTCCCTGATCTGCTCTGCTATCAGGCTCAGAGTGGGATGATGCAGGAAGGACCTGTTGACTTTGAGGAGGCAAAAAGCGTGGGGGGCCCTCTGTCTACAGTGCTGATATCTGGGGATGTTTGTCACTGCAGCAACATCACTGAGTCATTTTTGACTGATACATGGGGAGGACCAGAAATCCCCTCTGCACTAATGTTGTGAGAGTCCTTAGATGCTCTGGACCTGCCAGAAAGACACAGAGTCATTCCTATTTCACCTTTATTGACCTCTAGGGAGGAAGGGCCTTGTATGTGAGCTGGTCATGAGCACTGATTGATTCAGCTGAAGCTTGGCCTGGATTTGGTGTTGATGGCGAAGGTAATAGGACCCAGAGAGTCCTAACTTAGAAGCTTCTTCTACTGATGATGGAGCAGCCAATATCCTTGTATTCACTGCTGGTGACCCACGTGTCCTTGAAAGTTGACAAGGAGCACAAGATGGAGCCGCCTACCCAGGCACTGTACTTGGCATAGGGAGAGGTGGACACCTGTGAGGGGAGGGCAGGGAGGGAGAGAGACAGGGATCAGAAGGGCAGAGAGGGGAAGAGACCATTAAAACATGACTCTAAACTGGGGCACAGATATCTGTCCCCTCCAAAATCCATGGGTAGGCATTTCTTCCTCCTGGCATTTATGACTAATTATTATCCATTAAGGTGAGCAGTTTACACCCACATCCTGTAGCTTCATCCATTTTTTATTTGCTATTTTATTTTTAAATTTTTGACTAGTGTATGCTTGTGATGTATAATAAACACACTCATTGTGGGTAACTGGTACATATGGTGAAGTGGACAAAGGCATACAGAACTCATGCCCTTGACATTGTAAAACAGAGTGCATTCTGTACTTTATAAATACTGTGCATTCAGCATTTGTATTTTGTAGAAAAATCAGAAAACAGATAAGAAAAATCAAGCAATCGCCCAACCCCTTCTGCAGAACAGAGCTTTCCAGACTCTGCTCCTGCTTTCATAATGCCCTCTGAAAAGTGCACACTTCCTCTGGGTTCCGTTCCAAGACAGAGAGAGAGAGAGAGAGAGAGAGAGAGAGAGAGCACCATTTCTTATATCAAGGAAAAATCTCCACATATACTTGTCAGGAGCAGCCCCTAAGGCACAGGAAGGTTCAGATCACTTGCTCAAGGTCAGACTGTTGACATCCTCACGGCTCACTTTTGTAGGTATATAACATTAGAGTGGTTTTTGTTTGCTTGTTTTGTTTTGTTTTTTGTTTTTGTACTGGGGATCGAACTCAGGATCTTGCGCTTATGAGGCAGGTGCGGTGCCAGTGAGTCCAACATTCCCCAGCCCAACAACAGAGTGTTATTAACCTAACACAGAGGAGGCCAAGGCATCCCTGCAGGGATCTGCATGGGAAAAGCTCAGGATAAGATTTGGAAAACTCAATTTCCAGGCATGGTGGGTAGACAAGATGCATTCTCAGACTTGGTTCCCTGCTGCCTGCTGGCTCCAGTCACTGCTGTGCTGGGCTTGGAAACCATTTCCTGGTAGCAGTTAAGAGATCTGTCACTACAGTTTAAAGGGAAAAAAGAGATAAGGAAGGGAAAAGAATGTTTGGGATCAGCACTTCAGGCAGGGGCAAGAGCCAGTGCCTGACACCTGGGGGCCTTTGCTCTCCTTTTTCTTCTGTCACCCTGGCCAAGTCATCTGCCCCATCTGTGTCTTATCCAAACAGAATCAGAGAGAAGTGGGATGCCATATGTGTTACAAAGAAAGAAAAGCACAGAAAAATGGCCAAAGGGCTGGAATGAGCAGTTACAAAAATATGTTTAAAAAGAAGGAACAGAAAAGAACAACAAAAATTTTTCCCATTCACCATGAAGGCAAAACGATTTTAAAAAGGAAGCCAGCTGGATGTTTCCATGGGGAATTTGCCCATACATTCGAAAAGCCTTGGGTTGTGCATATATTTCTGGCTTCAAAAGCCACATCTAGAAGTGGATTTGAAGGGAAAGAAAAACTCTTGTTAAAAGGGGGGTGGATAATGGCAAACATTTTTAGCCTAAGGACTTTCATTACAGCACAGCTCAGGCTGCCAGGAGAAGCAATTACAGGTGCTCTTTGATGTACGGTGGGAGCACATCCTGGTAGCCCCATTGTAAGTTCTCCGGAGCACATCCAAACTATGGAACATCCTCACTCAGCCACATGGCAGGCTGCAGGGTCCTGTGACGGGCACATGCCCTGCCCAGCTTTAAGAGAGAGGATTGAACTGCACAGCGCTGGCCTGGGAAAAGATCAAACTCAAAATTCCAAATGTGAATCATTTTCATTTCACTGTAAAATCAAAATATCATAAGCTGAAACGTGGTAAACGGGATTTTATTTGAAAAATAGTACCCATTGGAACTAGCTGTTCTCCCAAGGTGGATGAATTTGTTTTAGGGAGAAAATTCTTCTCTTCTTTAAGTGAATAATTAGCCTTATAGGCCAATCTGCCTCCCAGGCCTTTCCAGACCTTGTGTACTAAAGTGATGAGGCAGAGAAAAATCTAAATTACCACAAAATTACAGGAAATTATGTCACCTCTAAGCTTCCTGGGGAAAGAGAGTTTTTAGAGGGGGTGGGGACAATGTGGAGCACCTTGAGGATAGGGAAGGTTTTGAAAGAGCTTCGTCCAAAATGCAGCCTGGCCACATCCTGGCAGGACAGAACTGGCCCAAGGGAGTCCCTTTACAAGCACCGTCAAAAAACTTACAATTTTCAAATTCAATTTGCTTTCTCTACTGAACTACGTGGAAGCCTTCCTCTCTGATTTAGTGAAAGCCTTTCACACAAGAGCCTAAGGCTTCCAGAGAGCAGAGAGGGAGCTGCGGGGACAGGATAGGTGCCCATAGCTGGGGCTGAGGAAGGAGAAGACAGAGCCGTGACCATTTTCCATTACTCCATAAAACGCTTCCTGTGACTTCATGTCAGATAAGATAGCAGAGGGTGTAAACTCAGGAGGTGAGAAGACAGGTCAGGGAACAGTTGTCCAACATTATGTGCATTTTTGCAAAATCACATAAGATAATATAAAATGTGGATATAAAGATTAGGAAATGAGAAACGGGGTGCAGCTCTCAAATGTGAACAGGTGTGAAGTTATATGGTATGATGCTTAATCTGGGTTGTAAACATGATTGGATTGAGAAACGCCTAGGAAATTAGGACAGCATGCTTTGGATATATCTCTGAGGGTGCTTCTAAGACAACTGGAAGACATCAAAGTGGGAAATGTGGGACAGGAAACTGTGGAGGAACACTGGCCCTGAATATGGGTGATGTAGCCAATAAACTATGGACAACTTCCTTCACTGTAACTTTCTGCCACAATGTTCTACCTGGCCACAGGCTTAAGAGCAATGAAACCAGCCAACCATGGACTGGAACCATGAGCCAAAATAAACCTCTGAGTTATTCTGTTACAGTGATGGAAGATTAACACATGCAGTGTTTTATAAAGAGGTAGCAGTGCTGAGGAGGTAGGAAGTGGTGGGCAGTTGTCCAGCCAACATCAGCAGCAGGAGAAGATACACTAAGGACATGTGCCATGTTCTCTGGGAGAGGGTTTTACAGAAGCCAGGTCTGACAGCTGGGAGAGGTTATGGTGCTGGGTGATGGAGCCGACCCCAGAAGACAGGGGAACCAAGGGTTCTGAATCAAGGGATTAAGTCCAAACCTTCTGCCTGGAGTCCTTGATGGTATCCTCTGGATAACAGAAACAGAGAGAAGTGGCCACACATGGATCTTGAAAGGGAGAGATTTTCTGAGCTAACCTGCCAGGGGAGGACACAGGTTGCAGGTCGGCTGACAGGAACAGCAGTGTCACTCTGATGAGGATCTCCCATGAGCCGACAGCAGGAGATATGTCACCCAAGTTGGCCTGTGGAGTTTGCAGCAGATGGAGAGCCATCTAGCAAAGCAGGAAGAATTTAGGGCCAGGTGAGCTCTCCTCACCTGATGATGGTCCACCCATCTCACCCAGTGACGGTCCACCATCCTCCCCGAATGACAATCTGCCTTCCCCTCTGGAGTCTGAGTCTTCAGAGCTTAGGTGAATTCTGTCACTCCTCTGCCTAACCCTTTCAGTGGTTTCTTTACACTTTTTCATGGTGAAAGCCTCTCCACTTCCCTATCCCTGTCACCTAGTCCTTACTCACTCAGCCAGAGGTACCCCTCGCTTTCCTTCTAAAACAAGCTCTGTACAATCACAGGAGTTGCTCTCTGCCTGAACGCTCTTCATCCCCAGTAGCCACACCTCTTTGAGCAGATACATTCCAACATTCACTGCATCTCAGCATCCCACCCTACCCACACTGACAGCTCCTTGCTCCCCCAGGGGCTCACAGCCCCTTCCTGCACACGGTTCCCCTCATCCTGTGGTGTGCATCACCTACTATTTCTGATTTCTGATGCTTTTGTTCATTGATGTTTCCCCAAGCACCATTGGCTCATCAGAGAAGCATTCTAGAAATATCTGTGGAATGAAAAGAGGAAGCTCCCAAGGAAATCATACCTTCACGTCTATAGTAGGGGAAACCAGTCGTGTTAGTTCTCTCTGCAATCTTAATAGCAAGCCAGAGCAGGAGGCTGTGCCTCCAGATAGTACGATGTGGCTGAAGAGGGTCTTCCAGAGAGATGGGTTGCAGGAGGTGATGCTCTGCATGGCTATCATGTGGATCCCCGGGGTGCTTCTCCCTGTCAAGATGCGGGGGGGACCTTGAGGCTAGAAGCTTGGTCTGTTGTACTCCTGCGTTCCTCCCTTCCAACTGAAGGCCCTGGGTGGCAGGAGCCCCTAGTCCCAGATAGCCCCAAGTGCCACCAAGACCATCAGTGCCTCCACAGCAAGGCCCTGTGAGTTTCAGCAAAGTAGTGCATAGATGTGCCCAACCAACCAGAAGATTCCACTGCTCTTGGTCAAAGAAATAAATTCTAATTCTCTTCATTCTTTTTTTGGTACTGGGGATCGAACTCAGGACCTTGTGCTTGCAAGGCAGGTGGAGGCACCACTGAGCTAAATCTCCAGCCTCAGGGAATATTTTGTTTTCCACAACTTCCAGAAGGCTTCATTTTCCCATTCAATTTGGATTATCAATTTCCCTAATTGGCCAGGCCTACCTGAGTCTTTGGTCAACTCAGAGATCATTTAAAATCTCTAGACCAGTCAGATCTTTCAAGCTCCCTCCATATGTATGGAGTTTGCTTTTCTTCCTTGACTGTCTTGATTTTATATTTCTTATAATTTTGGAGTACGTAGAGTTATAAATAATAGAAGAAGACCAGCAGCCCAATGGAGTTGTGATCACACTTAATAAATTATTTAAGACTCAGGGTGAATTTCTTCCTCTGTAAAATGGGATGACATGGATTGGGGGAGAAAAGAAGGAATCACTTATGTACAAGGGTCAAAAGAGTGACAGGTACATAGCAGATTTTAGGCATGTGATAGCCGATCCAAGAGGAAGTTTTGAAATGGGGCGTTTATCTCCTCTCCTCCTGGTTGCCCAGTGCCTTCTTTCTGACCTCGCACTCCACTGCTTGTGGCTGGACTCACTCTGTCCCCTTCCAGTGGACTCACCTATGAGGTTGTTCTGGAAGAGCGCCTCTGGGCAGAGGAAAGCCCCCTGCCCAAGGCTGATCTCCTGTCCATCAGGAAGCTGGAATTTCTGGGGGCGGGAAGATGAGTCTCTGTCTTCCACCTTCTCCTTGTCAAAGTCCAGTGCCACATAGCAGCATTTCTCTTTCACATTCCGGATGTGCTCTCGGTCAGCTACAGGACAAAGGAAGAGTGCCGGGGAGAGGAGGGCATGAAAGTGGGGTGCACTGTGGTAAGGAAGATGCCACCCCCTTGAAGCTCTGTTTCCATACTCCTCTTGCTCTCTGGAGTCTCCTGGCCCATGCTAGACAGGGGACAGGTACAGGACCAGAAGGTAGCATAGGCATGTTTTGAACTGAGAAGCAAGGGGTTGGAAATGCTCAGCATTTTATAAGCTGAGACAGCGCTACATATGGTGTGTGTTTTGTAGGGCTGGAAAATCAAACTGAACTGTATCATCTGTTGTGACAGAAGGTGCTACATACTGCTCACAGTTGTCTCCTAATCTGGAGAAACACCCACACTCCATCGACACCCTTCACCTGGAAACACCTGGGAAGTTATGTCCTGCCCCTTCCAGAGTGGTCAACAACAGGGCTGAAGTCCAACTGCACTTTGGGCACTATGGCTTTATATTTCACCTGGTGTTGTCTTTAAGTTTGAATCACAAGGAAATTCCCTGCACTGCCTGATGGGAAGTCCCACTCACTCTTTAGCCCACTGACCTCAGAGTTTCATCTCCCCTCTTCCCCCCAAACTGCTCTTGCCTAGATATGTCCATCCTCCTAGTTCCAAAGCCCACTTCCCTTCCTGCCCTCCAGAAACCGATGCCATTAACCTTCTTCTCTTCCCCTGACTTCTGGGACACTGCAATCTCCTGACATTTTCCCCTTCCTCACAAAATTTGACCTTCCATGAGACAAATTTGGGTAGGATCCCACTTCTGCCATTTACTAAATGCCTAGATACAGGCAAATTCATTACCTGTCAGACTTTCCCTGTCTTTGTCTTCAAGGATAGGACTAATCATCACCTTCTGGACTACTGTAAGGACAGAATGAAATAATGCACACAAAGATCTTGCTAGGTGTGAGGTGTCAATGACATGCTGCGACTTGGCCCTCTAACTGCTGCTATCCTTTAGGGTTCTCTGTCTTGCTTGGGTTTTGACATAGACTTCTTGCCTGGGAAGACCAGAAACTCAGTGTAGGGTTGTAGGCTCACTGGGACTGAGTGCCATAAGGGCTGGGAACCCAGTCCAGGAAATAGGTACAAAGAGAAGCAGGCATTGCCTTGTCTGAAGTCCTTGAGGTCACATTCCAGAAGTAATGCCTTACTACTTAGGAGACATCTGCTGGACTTCCTAGCCTTCCTAGGCCTGTTCTTCCAATAGAAACAACTGTTCCTCCTTATGGAGCTGTAGTGAGAAACACTGGGAGGATGAGTGAGAAATGTTTACTTGACCTCATGTTCTGCACAGGGTAAGTTTTCTCTAAAGCTTAGCTCATCCTCACGATCACCATCATCATCATCATCATCACTAAACCTTCCTCACTATCACATCCTCCCCATCACTATCAGAAGCTAAATCAACACCACCATTGTCACTGTCACCATCACTGCCATCATCATCATCATCACTGTAATTGCCCTCATCATTATAAAGACTCCAAATGTCTCTACATATGGATAGCATTGTTTTTGGAGCTTGGAGGATGGTATAGTAGCCTCAGCTTCACAAATTGAGGTCTGTAGTTGATTCCACCAAAACAAACAAAAAAACAAAAAACCCTCATATCCAGATTATAAATCCTATTTAAAATCTTAAACCAAGTACCAACTTTTTGATTGAAATTGTGTAAGTTAAATTGCATTCTCTTAACCAATATGAGTGCATTTCTCTAAGCATAGTTATGTTGAGATAAAGTCATGAAAAGCAAAAAAAAAAAAAAAAACCCAAACCATATTCAAAGGCTACTTTGCCTGGCTGAGAAAAGCAGGATCCTACCTGTGCCCACTAACAAGCTCCCCCTCTCGGCCAACAGTTGCAGGAGGTACAAGGTCAGATCTTGGCCAGCCACATCCAGCTGGAAGGTCGACTGGTGCAAGGGGCAGCCATCAGAGACAGGAACAAAATATGTCATTCCTTCTCCAGATTCAATAGCTGTTCCTAGGTAAGAGAACATGCTGGCATCGTCAAGTAGGGTATGGCATCCCTTACCAACTGTGAGTGTGTGGGAAGAGAAGGTGGAAGGGGACAGGATCTGAGGATAAGTGGAGGGGAAGGCAAAGGGTCTGAACTAAGATAGGAAAAGGCAGCTACTTTCTTGGATCAAAGCCTGAGGATTTTCTTGTTAAACTTGGCATGCAAACATTAGCAGTAATTGCCCCCCAAAAAATGACTGGGATTCTCTGGATGGCACCCAAATGCTGGGAGAGTCTGAGGGCAGTGAAGGCGAAATACACTACAGTTATTAAAGTACACCAGGATGTAATGGTACAAAGGGAAGGGACACAGTAACAGGAACATATAGTCTTGTTTTTTATGACACAGAGGCTTTGGAAGCTATCCAGAGCCAATGGTAGTCTGGATAGTTGACTCCTCTCACTCTGGTGAACAAGACCTAAAAATTTCAATGATGCATACGGAGTCCAGAGGACCTCCCATTCCAGCAATGGAGACCAGGTAGGGAAACTCACAACTAAAAGAGAGAACAAAGTGTGTTTTCAAGATACTAGACACCAGGCAACAACGCTCAGTAGCCCCGAGAAAGGAGACACTCTAAGAGAAGAAAGTAGATTGGGTATCATGGCACACACCTACAATCCCAGTACTTTGGGAGGCTGAAGAGGGAGGATCCCAAGCCTGGGCAACTTAGTGAGAGCTTGTCTCAAAATAAAAAAGGGCTGGAGCTTTGCTCAGTGCAAAGGCTCCAGGCTCAATCTTTAGTACTACAAAATGGAAGAAAGAAAGGAAGAGAGGGAGGCAAGGAAGGAGGAAACAAGGAGGGAGGAGAAGGGAAGGAAAGAGAAAGAAAGAGAGAAAGAGGAAAAAAAGAAAAGAGTAGGCCTCGATCACTCATGAACATAGACACAAAACTTCAAAATGAAATTTTGGCAAATAGATTTCAATGATAATATATAAAAAGGATAATATGCTATGATTAAAGAAGTTTTGTCTCTAGAAAGCAAGATAGCTTTACCACTTAAAACCAGACAATGTAATTTACCATATTAAAGAAAGGAAATAAATCCACACTATCACATCAATAAATGCAGAAAGTGTATTTGGCAATATCCAACACCTATTAATATTTTTTTTTAATTCTCAGCAAGCTAAGAATGCAGAACTTCCTTAAATTGATAAACAACATCTATGAAAAACCATAGGTAACATGGTACTTAATGTTTTAAGACTGAGATCAGGAACAAGACAAAGATTCCTGCCCTTATTGATTAGATTCATTATTGTACCAGGGATCCCAGAAATCAGGTGAGGAGATAAAAAAAAAAAATTAAAAAGTATCTGCAATCAGATTGCCTAAATTGTAAATCCTATTAAATCTGCAAAAATAAATTTAATTCAAATATCAAGATATAATATCGGGCCAGGGATTTAGCTCAGTGGTTCTGGAGCCTGCCTCGCAAGTACAGGGTCCGAGTTTAATCCCAAGTACCAAAAAAAAAAAAAAAAAAAA